TTTGCTGTGCCTAGCACAGGTACCACCCGCCCCACCTGCGCATGCGCGATTCTGTCCTATTATGTCTAAGAATATATGTACCAAATTTGGTTTTAATCGGTTCAACCGTTTAGCCGGAAAAGAGATAATGACACACTTCCCCAAAATCTCCCCAGAAGAATAAAAAATAAACGCACTCACTTCTACGTTGCTTTTTGCGATTCAGAGCTAGCAACGTACCTTTTTTTTTGCTGCGCCAAATGCCGTAATTTGAAAGCAATTGTTGTATTTCTGGATATGAGTAAAAAAATGTATAGAATCTGGCCCATTTCCAGAAACCAAGGAATGCTCTGGTGGCGGTACCAATGGCGTAAATGTCTTCAATTCTCCAATTTTCCAATTTTCTGCGCGATTTTCTTAGTTTTTCTTGCCGTAAGAACCTTCTTCACAGTATTAGAAAACTTTAAAAAAAAATATGAATGAAATCGGTTCTAAAGTTATTGCGTGACCAGAAGAAACAGGGGTTGATTTTTATATATGGAGATTTCTTTGAAATTTTAACCATAGATGCTCTAGTAAAGAAAAAGATATCCCCTATAGTTATGGCCTTTTGGGAAGTACTTATCAATGCGCTGAAGTTACTCGCGTTAGGGCGAAAGCCTTTTTATTTGTTTCAAGTACTTTCCCTATATTATTCATTATTGATGTAGGTATACTGGGTACGGGAATATGTTTGTCTTTGACGCGCTCTAGCGGTAGAATGGTTAGCCTAACAAAAAGTGGTTTACGAAAAACACAGGACATTTTGTCTACTTTAATTTTGTACAGAATGGACTTGTCGGAAAAAAAAACGCTTCCTTTCTGAGATATCAACCAAAAATTGATTTGAACAAAAAGTGCAAAAAACAAAGTTACGGGTCAAACTTTAGCCTGCAAACTTCAAATTCGTGTTCGGCGACACAACAAGCATACAAGGTGAGAAAACAAAAACTTCCGAGAATCCTAGTATGCCTAGCCTATGTGGAGGAAGTAAAATTTATGATATCTCTCATTGGTTAAGGTTGAGGTTAAGTTGGTAGAGCAAAGCCCTCATTTCTTTACACACTTAGTCAAAATACGACAAAACAATTTGGGTTCGTGGAGAGGGACTCAATTTTACGTCAATTCCCTGTAGTTGAGATTAAGCGAGGGGTGAACCACTGGTGAAGTATGGTGTACAAGTGTGATGAAGTCCGTGAAGTTCATATGAAGTTTTGGTGAAGTCCGCGAAATATTGGTGAAGTTCGTGAAGTATTGCTGAAGTGCGTGAAGTACTGATGAAGTCCGTGAAGTATTGATGAAGTCCGTGAAATACTGATGAAGTCCATGAAGTATTGGTGAAGTTAGTGAAGTTTAAGCGAACTATTGGAAAAATGCATGAGGTTGTGGCGAAGTTTATATTCAAATCCCTTAACAAAAATCGTACGGTAGTTCAATTCACGGTTGTAACCACTAAAATTCGAGGTAAAATTAAATAAATTTCTGCGAAATAAAACTGAAAGTATAGATTAAAAAATCTATGCTGAAAGGTAAGTTTTTTATCCGCAAAAGTATATGGCATTTATTTATGAAAGACTAACTATGCCCATTTCTACAAAACAAAAGGACAGTTACACAGGCGACAGACGCCCTGATGAGACAGCGACTCATAGACGTACTGATAGTCCTTGCGTCGTATTTATGTGTAGGTACAAAGATCGTAAATTGTTTCCTTTTAAAAATTTAATAAATCCTTTCCTTTATTACCATCAGGTTCAGGTAGCTAAATAACACTTCGATAACACTTTTATTAGGTATATTAAAATAAAATCGACAGACGGAAAATTTGTCACGTGGATAGCGGCTTTTGTTTTCCTTAAAATTTCAGCACCCTCCACAACTTAGTACATCAGCCCCTTCCAAATCAAGTTTCTGGCCACGCCATTGAGTTATTTACGACTATAACGTCAATCCCGAGGTCAATACTATCCCACAAACAACACCATTAGCATAATTCTTGAAAATAATCCCCTAAAAATGCAACCTGTTGTAAAAGGATTAAGAGTTGCTTATTGGGTTCAGCCTGGTTATATGTTACAATACCTTTTACAAGACCTAAGCAATATTTTCCCGCTTATTTTGTTTGTTTGTTGAAATGAAATTTTTAAAAGAAGAATTGGACACCTTTATATGGTATAGAGCCAGATATCCAATCTGTTAATAAAAGATATATTTTAACAGGACCCATTACATTAATAGGAAGTGAACCATTTAGTATAACTGCATAGGTAGCTATAACAGAAATTTGAAGCTTATAAAATCTTAAGTACCTATAAATGGTGCACAACTCCTGTGCAGATAAAGATAAAGGGCCATTTTTTAAACCGAAATAGCTTAGTAAATGGTTGGGTTAGAAGGTAGTAGCATGTTATCGATATTTACTTTCTTAGTAGATGATTGATGGGAGGACATTGAAAATCCTCCGACACCCCCGATTGATTTTGCCTTTGAAAGTACTTTCCTCCGATTAACCGTTTTCGAGATAATCGCTCAATGGATATATTTCTTTAAGATGTCCCAATCGCCCTTTGTGAGTACTCTTCCAACAATCTGTTGTGGAGATATAAGGGGATATATCCAATCACGGTAAGGGATCGAAGAAGAGGACTATGGTTGGTAGAAATTAATTCCTTTCGTTGAGACCTTTAATTAGAATATCATGAAAGATAAAATACGCCCCCCCCCCGCGCCATGAACTGAACTTGAAAAAGAGTCGCGCGGTAACGTTATAGTTTGTGCAAACCAATTTATTTCGATGAGACCATGAAAGGTGGAACGGGTGTTTACCCCCGTCCCCCCTCCCCATTTTCAAAATTTTTACTGCACCACTAAAGCCATGCGCCAATTGATTGCCGTATGTAAAAGTAATGCACGTTTTACCTTTACTTTTAAAAACAGCATCTCGGGAAATAATTGATGGAGGCCATCTCCCTTAAGACAGCGAAATTTGATTGCCGTGTGGCACACCTTCAAGGTATAGGCTACATATTGCAAAAAATTCCAGGACTCTAGGACCATTTCCCTAAAAGTAGTTCAAAACCGCAAAAGTGGGTCCGACCGGCGGGCAAAACTCAAACAAAAGCACATTTTTTTTAAATTTCTTTAAAAAAATTGATTCATTTCAATTTCGTCTATGTACTTACTTCTATGTATAAACAAAGTATGTTTTTATTTTACTTTATATTACGGTTTCGTTTTTGTTATGCCTCTATTATCATTTATATCAATACATTCTATATCTTTTACTGCTTTGAGTGCTTTGTTTTAATTGCAAGAACTCTAGAAAAAAGGATGGGATTTTGTCCAGTGCAAAATATCAGTGAAATTCATTAAGTATCAGTACTGATGAAGTCCATGAAGTATCAGTGAAATACGTGAAGTATGAAGTTTGGTGTACACGATTTTGCCTAGCGATTTACCCCTCGAGATTAAGTAAGTCGAGCAAAATTTTCATTTAACCACATGTTTTTTATGCCAAAAATGCTAAGAATTGCGCCAAAAAATAAAAGGCGTTTGTCACCTCGCGTACTCATCCATTGAGACTTAGATTCATGCCTTGCAAGACGAGTAGGCGTAGGCTGCGGAGTCGCGCTAGTAACTAGAAATCGCAATAATTTGCATACAATTGGAGTTGACACATCAAACAAGATTACGCGTAGAACTGATCAAACTTTTCGTCGATGCACTTAGGAAAAAAAAACAAATTGTACGTAAACGTTCGATAAAATTGTCGTAATTTGTCGCAAAGAAGACTGAACGGGTTTTAGAAAATTTTGAGCGCTAAAGCTTAAACTCCACCACACTTAAATCAAGATAATATTAAATTAATTGGTTGTTGCACTTTTTGGGCCGTACAAAGTGCATTACGTGAAATATCCCAATCATAAAACAAACGATCCTATCTTTGGAGCCGAATCATTTCACTTTTTTGAACATTTAAGCACAACGGTTACGCAAATTACTCGGTAAATCAACTAAAAAAACGTCGTTTTTAGATCAATAAAAAGATAATTTTATCGCGCAAAATTGACGCCTAATAGGTCATTAATGAAAAATCCGCGACCATGTGCACGGTGGATTTAATTTGTGCGATTTCTTATTTTGTACAGGGACGCGAAAAAATTCATTAATAAAGAAGTTCACGGCTTTGACAGATCTAATTTTTGTTAATATCTTATTTTCTACAAGGACACCTCTTCTTTCATCAGACAGTGAAATTTCGAAACCATACTTGGGGGGAGATTTCTCGGCCGTGTTAATAGACTTTTTAGGAGATTTCCGGATATGGAATATTAAAATCGAATTTTATAAAAATCTACCGAAATTGAACCTAATGACAAAAGAAAGTTTTTAATAATAACCAATTCTATTTTGCCTCCGCCGAGATTACGAAGAACAAAGGTTGCCATACAAATTGTTTTGAACAAAATGTTAAAATTAATTACAAAATTGCCATCAAAAAGCGAAAGTGAGTAAAGTAATTTGACTTCACACAATGGTCGATTTAACCGTGTGAGCTGGAGTTTTTTGAAATTGCCTTGTACTTATCGGCAATTACAGCATTGCAGTACCAATAAACTGTTGATCTGCGATCGTAAAGTTTAATTGGTGAAGATAAAAATGAGTCATTTTTGGGTAAAATATTGTACAAATAAACAGGAAATAATTATTGCAATACACATTTTTTTAAGGAAGGTTAGTCATTGTTAAATTTCTCTTGCAAATAAACGGCACGGCACAGAATTTACACAATTGAAAGGTCGATCGCTAGCAATAAAAATATTAATATTCCAAAACCATATGTGTAATTGCAAGCACATACCAGAGTGTCTAACATGCAATTTATAACAGTAAATACTTAACCTCGTTTAAAGTTAAGGACTATTAGCCGAAGTAAATTAAAAAATTCCTCCGTAAATATTATGGTCTATATTTAAACTTACATAGCCAAACATTCCCCATGGGCGCCTCGTGCAAAAGGCGCGCGTCAAAATCGAGCCCAGCAAGATCCTTTTGTAGATTTTTAGTATCCATTTCCAAAACTCTTTCGGGAAGTAAAAATAAATGATCTAAACCCTCCATTGGGGTTAATTCACGCGGCCGCAACACTGTTAACATCTTAAACCGCACATCACAATGAATTATATTGCACTACGGTTCCAATAAAAAATTGGCGCGCGTACATCCAATTAATATAAAATTAACCGAAAGTTAGATTTTTTTAATTATAAAATGAGGTCATCGCTGCACTAATTTTTGCACTAAAAAGAAACACTTTCAATTTCTCATATTGGACGAGTTCCGTAAATCCATGCCATAAATGACCACAAGCAGCGTGTTGTACGTCCAACTCAACTATCACGAACTGACTGAAAAGAACCGCCCGGATTCAGTCAATTAATCCGGAGTCACAGTGACTCCCGTTTCTATTGTGGAAGAAAAGTATCCCGACTCGTTTAAAGATTAACGGCGAATATATCGTGTTAAGATTTGATATGCTATATGAACAATTCTCGACATGACTAATAAATAAATAGTACGGATAGAATTCTATACAATAAAGTGTCGCTAGTCGAAGGGAAAGTAATCATGAAAGCACAACCGACTATTATGTAAACTGCATCTGATTTGTCACAATCGATATACTCTTGGCATAAATTGATTTTGGCACTAGTCGGAATGGGAAGGAGAGGTTGAGGCGATTTACGATCCGGTGTACTCCAAACTGATGACTTATAACGAGATTTCGGCATTCACATGCCCAAATTAAATCAAAGACGACCAATCGATAAACCAAGCTCAGCATGAAAAGTGAACTTCAATGGAAAACGCGTAGGATGAGCTGAATCGATTTGCATATAGGAAACTATTTCATGGGAAAAGCAAAACCACATCATTAGTTTTTCCAGAACAGGAATACGTAAAATGTCCGCCCGCCAAATTTAAACTAATTTGGCTCGAAATGCTCTGCTTGCACCTTGAATATTGTTGTTCTAATGCGACCTATTTCTAATGTCTAATGTCCGTGAAAGTGAAGGCAGTTTTCGCAACTTTTGCGGGATTCACGTTTGCGTTTCGCATCGTTCCCGAATCGATGTCGATTTTCTGCCTTGCATCCGAGTTCGTAGTCTAAAAGGAATTTTCAAAAACTCTAACATCTTGCTCAATGACGACCTGAATCTAAATAAATTTTTGAAAATTTGCTATACTGAATGAACCCCACACTTTGTTATTTTAAATGGGATGACCCAGTTTTTATTCATTTTTTCAAAGCTGTGCTAAGTCACACACCTAAACCGAATATTTAGTGAATTATTTCAGTTTTTTTTTCGAAAATACATTGATTGTTGTAATGAATGGCAAACAGTGATTTTTAAGGGCTGAGTAAAAAGACATTCGTTGCCCTTACCTTAGTAAAAATTACCTACTAATGTTTTAAAGGCTCGGTAAAAACCCGGAAAACTTGGTGAAAAAACTAAAACCGGTTTCTCTATTTTTTATCGGGTGTAAGGAAAAATTAGATGCGCGTATCCAATAACACAACTGTATCTACTCGTGTTAGGCAGTGGTGTAGTCCTAAATCTTCTAGTGTGGGAATGCTCACCATTTTCTGAGAATTAACTAACATAGGCGATCCAGAATATATTGGTGTTAAGTGTAATAAACTGTAAACTAGTAAGTGGATAGTAACAGATCCATCGCCAGTATATATGTATGGAGAAGTGTATGGTCATAAAAAAATGTGCGTAAGTGGTACACGAGGTTCGCAGAACCCCGTACTAGCATACACGCCGAGGCCGGCAGCGGGCGTTCCTCGGTTTCAGACGAGACAGTGACGAAAGATTGCCGAACAGAAGGGGACGACTGTAGGATTACCGTGGACAAGATTTTAACGGATATTTGTGTGAACCCCAAAAAAAGACCATTGAGAAAGGCGCGCCGAACAAGGTGAGGAATATTTAGATTCATTCGTAACGGAAGACGAGACTTGGGTCCACTACTTCACGCCAGAGACTAAGGAACAATGGCGGCATTCCAGTTCTCCAAGTGTCAAAAAGGCTATACAGAACAAATCCATGGTATGGCTAATAAAAGGAAGTTCGCCTACACCCGTTCTCACGTGGCCCACACCTCGACGGATCTCAGCGCCAAATTGGAGTGGGAAATCATTGACCATCCTCCGTACAACCTTGATTCGACCCCCAGTGACAATTTCCCCAACTGGAAACAACGCTTGGGGGAATGAAATTCGCAAGGGACGAAGAGCTAAATGCTGTCAATTCCTACCTGTGCAGGTCGGTGGAAGAGTGGTACGACGCTTTCAGAGCATTGATCGTGACGGAGAGTGCGTTAACAAAATAGCAAACAGTCAAAGATTTCAGAATCTATTATTGGTTGCAATGTGTAAAAGTATGGGAGACCTTAACTTACGGACAAACCTCGTATATATTCTTAGAAAAGCAGAATGGGAATGCCGCTTCCACTTATCTTCCACTAATTTTGAACCCATGATTAAAAATTATGGACTTCAAAAACGATGTCTCCAACAAATTACATAAATAAGAGCACACTCGCAAAGGCTGGTGTACGCAACCGCCTCGTTTGATGAACTTAAATAGGCCAAGGGACTTTCCCGCGACCCGCAGGGCTGCAGATACGTAAACGCTTTGTGTTGGGCTATTTCCTAGGTCATACGTCTATTGCAATCCAGTCTTGTTAACGTATAAAGTTCTGGAACACTTTTAAATTAATGTACACAGAGTGCCTAATGAAACGGTACTTCTCCAGTAAGGTCCCAAATGTTTTCAATTTTGTATACCTACATACATAGTGGGCGAGTGATTTTAAGACACTTAAGAGTCGTAAGATACGGCGTGATTGTTTCAAGTTGCTGCTATCTGATTTTTTGCGGTATAACTTCATTGGATGGAGGGATTTTTTTTTATTGGTAGAAAAAGATTAGCCTCATAAGGGGTGTCGGGTTGTTTTTGGAAAAGATTCGAAGACTCCTGCGGGGTTAATTACACTGTACAGGGTAGGCCAAATTCGTAGCTGAAAGTTGCCCTTCTGCGACTAAAAATACACAATTTTTGAAAAATCTTTGAAAATAACTGAGATAGCGAAAAACTGATTATGTCAAATTTCATTTTAATTTTCCCTAGCTCTAACGGTCGAAAATGGACGGTTTCCATTAGCACTTTTTTTCGGAGAATCTGTTATCAGAATTTCTATAACACACTAGATGTAGCTACCGGCTACTACTTCCTAAAGTCCCTAGATTGGTAGAGTACCGCAATTGACGCCATTTTGACTCCAACACTTTGGTGGGAAATTTGAAAAGACGTCACATTTAATCTAGATAAATCTACAAAAATTTATTTTCGTACTTCCGGGACTGAAGTGACAACTGCAAATAAAAATTAAAGCTTTTACCAAGCTTTGTTGTATGGAGTTTTGTGGATATAAAGCTTGTTTGGGAACAAATAACTGGTTTTAGTATTGAAACATAGAAAAGTAGCTGTTTAGAAATAAAATAATTGCTCGTAGGTACATACCTACTCCATCCACAGTTTAGTTCTCTCTACATTATTGTTATCACAAGGTAACCTAAATAACCTGTAACCACGTTCGCTTCGATTGTTACACCCAGGAACACAACAACCCGGCATTGTTTCAGTTTTTTAAACCAAATAACACGAAACACGTTCTCTCTGGCAAACACGAAAACACGATGACGAATTGACGAATATCAACAGTGATATCAACGAAAGCAGGTTATAATCTGTGGTTATGTAATCAACACGATGCCGCGATGCCGTCAGATATTATCGGCGGCCATTTTAACTCCAAAGGAGTGGACAAATCAATTGCGGTACTCTACCAATCTAGGGACTTTACTACTTCCTTATTTCTTACGGGCGCCATATTGGATTTTACGGAATTAGATAGTAGACAAAAAACGTGTCACACTATACTTTTACATAAATTTACAAGAAATACTTCAAAATCCTATGTTTTACATTTATTTCTCAACGTAACTCCAGGGGTGACTAGATCTTGCTGAATCAACATGACTATGATGGTGACGCATTGAAATTAATGTCTTTTTTTGTTCTATTTTTCATTCCGTAAAAATCCAATATGGCGTCCACAATAAATAAGAAAGTAGTAGCCTGTAGCTTTTACATCTAGCTTGTTATGGACAAGCACCCGTAAAAGGTGCTAACGGGAACCGTCTAAGCTAGAAGATAAAAACGAAATTTGACATTTTCAGTTTTTTCGGGTGATATTTAAAAGATTTTTCAAAATTTCAAAAGCGTTGTTTTAATCACAAAAAGTGGCCACCCTTTAACCTACACTGTATGTCTCACCGTTACGGAGATCCCAATGGTGAGACACGATTTGAACCATCAATATAGTGGGCGAGTCGTAAGATACGGCGTGATTGTCTAAGGTTACAGCAAAATTTTTCTTTACGCCTCAATCGCAGTATCTGCCTTAACTCTATCTGACTTAATGTATAGCTATTAGCTGTCAACGAATTTCATGGAACGGAAGGATTCGAAAAAGATGTATGTCATACGGGGTGTCGAGCTAGAAACATGAAGGCAGTGGGGAAATGGTTGTTAGCTCTCGCGGGGTAAGTACACTGTACAGAGCTCACCGGGTATATTTTGTGCAACATTAGAAAATAGTCTTTTTTTACATGATTCGAAGATAGATTCTCGTGGGGTCAAGTAGAGACGACCTTGACAACGCCGGTGATTTTTTTTGTGTAACAGTCGAATAGATCTTTGGCGAAGTTGAGTGCAGAATCCGTAGAAATGGTCAGCGTAGAGTGTTATTTGCTGTTTCGCCACTCGGATAGAGATTCTCGCGAATTCATAATCAATCGCGGCGTCGAAACAACAGCATAAAAAATTATAAATTTCTGAGTGCTCAATGTTCTCGAAAATTTCGCTGGATTCAACAATTACGAACTTTACGCGATTATTAAAGCAGAGTACACTTCTAAACCTTGATACTATTCATATTTATAAACCAACACACACACATTAGGTATCTGAAGCGATTAAGGAATCGGCTATTGGATCATAGAAAGTCTCATAATTCTAGAAATGACATAAGTACTAACATAATCAAATCATTAAAATAATCGATTCAACACACATGATCGATTATTAAGCAAATATAATTGATTAGGATGCTAATCAATAATTAGACAATCGATTATTCTTACAAAAATGGGCTACTCCGAATTCTTACGTTGAGTAAAGTACAGAAGGTATTTTTTCGTCTTTCTATTAAGCGTTCTCATTTTGCTGTGAGTAAACAACGAAAGACCAGGGTAAATAACAATAAAGATTATTATATGGAAGGATCTATCGAAATCGACAATTAGCCTCTTCGAAAGAGAAAAGTTGGATACGGGGAAATTTTCTTCAA